GGCCCAGCATCCTCAACTAGACCCTGTATTTACGTTAAGGGAGCTGCATTGTGCTATTGCATCATGTCGTCAAAAATCGGCCTCTGGACCGGACGGCATTACGTAAAATATGCTAAAGAACCTTGGGCCCACAGGCACAACTATTCTCTTAGATATTTACAATAATCTATGGACGCAAGAAATTGTACCCGAGTCTTGGAAGTCTGCTCGCATCATTCCGATCTTAAAACCGGCTATAAGACGCCCTTGAACCTTGAATCCTTCCGTCCAATCAGTCTGACAAGCTGTCTATGTAAGGTAATGGAAAAAATTATTGATGCACGACTTCAATGGTGGTGCAACAGAGCTGGTGTATTCTCCAACTACTTGACAGGTTTTAGAAAACAGAGATGTACTATGGATGCAATACTGGACTTAGTAACGTATGTGGAGCATGAACGCGGCTGTGGTAGTTTGACGGTCAAAGTGTTCTTGGACATCAAAAGGACATTTGACACAGTCAGTCACACTCATGTTCTGCTGAGTATGTTGGAACACGGACTGTCCGGCAGGTCTTTGCGGTGGGTATCCAAACTTTTATCAGGTCGTAAAATATTCATTCAGACGAGCGAAGGAAAAAGTGCAGAACACGGCGTCAGACAGGGAATGCCACAAGGAAGCGTACTCAGCCCTCTTCTTTTCAACTGTGTTATGGCTGATTTAGCTAAAAGACTGCCTTCCAAGTTGAAATACTCCTTATATGCAGATGTTGTGTGCATTTGGGCATCTAGCACGGACATACGTTTAATTCAGATTGCATTGCAAGACGGAATAAATATTATCAACAACTTTTTAAAAGAAAGGGGAATAATTCTATAGCACGCAAAGACAGCTGTATTGCCCTTCAACCGTAAGAAGTTAAAGAACTTCAATCTCAATTTAGAAGAAGAACCACTAAAGATTGTGACACAGCATAGGTTTCTCGGAGTAATACTTGATAGGCAGCTATCATGGGCACCTCACATAAAGAAACTCGAAAACGAGGTGAATACACTAGTGAATATACTCCGCAGAATTGCTGGGACATCATGGGGCGGATCTGTATCATCCATGCTCACTGTTCACAATGCTTTAATACGACAAAAAGTTGCATATTCTGCAGCAGTGTTACACGGCCTTTACCGCACTTCAGAGGAGCGACTTCAAAGACTATTAGCTAGGGGACTGCGCGTCTGCATAGGTGTTCCACGAGGGACTTCCAGCAGCCTTGTCATAGCAGAGACTCGACAACCACCCTTTCCAGTCATGAGAACAATTGAAACATGCCGCCATTTTTTTCGCTTACAGACGCAACACAAGGACCACCCATTGGCACTGGAGATTTTACTAAGAGATAAAAGCAATGCTCATAACGATGTACAGAGTAATGTACATATATAACCCAGAAATGAATTTTGGAGCTCTGAAATGGACTATCTTCCATGGCTGCTTGTAATACCAAACATTCAATTCTCTGTGGATGGCATTATCAGAAAGAGAGACATGTTCATCCAAGCTGCTCAACAACTAGCGCTTTATCAGATACACATGCGGTATCCAGGGTACATACATATTTACACAGATGGCTCAAGTACTACAACGCCTTCAACATCGGCATTTATCATACCACAGCTCAATATTCAGGAATCGTTTAAATTATGTCGCATGACGTCATCTACTACATCTGAGCTATTCGCTATTCTGTATGCTCTAAAGTTTATAAACTCGGTAGCAGACGCTAGAAAATGGGTACTTTTCAGTGACTCACAGGTCGCATTAAGATCACTCTCCAGTACAAACAGGACTGTAATAAGTGATAGTATGACATACGAAACGCTGAAGGAGCTCACCAAAGCAAAGAAGGCGCAACATGAGATCAAATTCCAGTGGATACCTGGCCATTGCAACATTCCTGGAAACACAGCTGCCGATGAAGCAGCACGACAAGCACATCGTAAAGTCGTTACTGTTTTTTTACCAATTTCGAAAAATGAATTGCGTAGTATTATAAAGAATACAACTTTCAAAATGAGCAAAACTGCTTGGTTTGACCAAAGTATAAAGAGCTCTGATTTATATCACATCGATCCATTTATTTAATTCAAAATTACGCTGGCATTAGATAGAAGGATGGAAACTCTAATTCACCGATTGAGGCTAGGCACCGCATACATAAAACATTTTTTGCACAGAATCGGCAGAACTGAAACTCCCGAATGCGAATGTGGATTTATAGATGAAGACGTCTGTCACCTTCTCATAGACTGTCCACATCATGACACGCCGAGACGCCGTCTTAAGTCCGAACTGTTCGCACTGGACCGCAGACCATTTAGCATAAAAAACTTCTGGGCCCGTGGCCAACTGGAGTTCTACAGTCCCACGCTTTAAAAGCATTAACACGTTTTTTACAAGACAGCGGGATTGCTGACAAGTATTAACAAAGAACAAACTTTCATTTGTAACACATGTACTTATTATGTATAGTATCATGTGACACCCATCACGTGTGTGTTGTGAAATGAATGACGTGTCGACTATTAAGTACATACAAGCGATTGCATCTTTATAAGGACCAGACGTGTGCTCTGCTGTTTTGTGCTGGTGGACCGAATATTAACGAGGGACATTTCCAGAGACTTCTTACATTGACTTTCGAACATTTATTTACCATTATGTTGTGATATGTGCGTATAAGTGTGTCTTTGCATATCTGTGCCCGAGTTTTCTATTTCCCATGCCCTGCTTTGTATGTTTTGCTTCAAGATACGTGTTCAAGTTGCAATCAACGGGTAAGGAGTAGCCGGCGCCATAATGATGCGCCAACATCTCCTCATATATCATATCAATAAAAAAAAGCAATTATTGTGCATATCCGAGGCACCATAACAACATTTCAATATTCTGTATGTGTCTTTATGGTAGAAAAGACATACGTAAGTAATCAGAGGACCGTACCGTTTATCACGCTGCTCTGACAATGCAACGCTATGCTCAAAAAGGCAAGTGTTTCCAACACTTTGCTTGGACTTCACGGTTGGGGCACCTGCCCGTCGCTTTGCGTTCTACCCCTTACCGCCTCCGAGACAGGCGCGCACGCCTTCCTTCGTTTTCGAATATAACTGCCAGATAGCATGCACTTGTGTCTAACGTGCCTCGATGCGCTCGTTCGCCTTCACTGCACGGATCGACACACTAACGCAGTGCCTCCACAATACAATTCAGTGATTTTCTCGCACAGAAAATCAAATAAACGTGTTGTACACTCTCTCCAAACGCAATACTATCGTCTTTCGACGACATTTGCAGTGAAACATGCCAACGGGGCCAATCTTTTAGGAGCTTGCTTCTTTTTTGCCCAACGGAAATGACCGAAATGTACACTATAGTGTTGGCAGTGTGTACACTTCTGAGGTCATCGCTCAATGTCACCTCTCCGGTTATTCCAATAATGCTAACTAAATGGCGCGCCGCCACCCAAGGCGTCAGTTTTCGATGGCCCGCGCACTTGCCTCCTGTGAGTGGCTTTGAAAGAAAGGGAAGTTAAGAGAAAACCATGGTGTCGTGACTGTGTCCCTCTCTGGAGATAAACTCTGCGACGCCACACGAAAAATGGGTAGTGAGGGAGAGAAAAGAATCAGAAAGAAAAAAAAGCGGAAGGTGTCAGTGGTGTTTGGTCTGGTCACGTGCGAACGTGTGCCGCCTCCGAGCCGTGGGCATCAATGGTCATCGAAAAAAAATCACAGAATATCCACTAGGTGAATGATGACGAGTGGAGCGAAGCACCGGCGCGAGCACAGATGCACAGACGGACGCACAACACTTCACCACCCTCATCATTATTCCCTGCGTTGATTGATTGATATGTGGGTGTAACGTCCCAAAACCACCACATGATTGTGAGAGACGCCGTAGTGGAGGGCTCCGGAAAGATAGACCACCTGGTGTTCTTTAACGTTCATCCAAGTCTGAGCACGCTGGTCTATGGCATTTTCGCCTCCAATGAAAATGCAGCCACTGCAGCCGGGATTCGATCCCGCGACCTGGGGGTCAGCTGCCGAGTACCTTAGCCCCTAGACCACCGTGGTGGGTCCGTGGATGTGCCGTGACCCCCTTCTTATTGACATGTAATGCAATGCAAGTGACTACTACGACTACGATGACTACGACGAGACGGCACATACAACCCACGGCTTAAGGGGCTTCGCCCCTGAAAACTAACTGCCATGCAAGCCGGCAGGGCGAGGATCGTCGCTTCGTAGGTACGGCAGCACATGAAAAGTTCCTGCGATGAGTGTTACGCATGGGTACCAACATCCTCCCAAGCCCCTCGCCTGCCTGCTCTCAACTCCGTTGAAGAACGCCTGATAGCTCCACTTCTGTAATTCACGAGCGTTAGGCACTTCAATAGGATGGAAAGGTGGGTTAGTTGATAATTCATGATGTTTCAGTGAACTGGGAGCGCGGGGGTAAACACAGACACAAAGCTAAGAGGAGGCACACAGCACAAGCGCTCATGCTGTGGGCCTCCTCTTAGCTTTGTGTCTGTGTTTACCCCCGCGCTCCCAGTTCGCTGAAACGTTAGGCACTTTACTCGCGACAGCGGCCAGTATGGCATAAAGGGGCAGGTGGTTAACGTGCCGATCAATGAGGCCAACACTGTGCAGTGCCGTTCGCGGATCGTGCCCAACAATGCTGCCTTCGACGTACACATCATGCATCAACTCATTAGCAAGCTTTCCTACGGATATGGTCTCGCCAAGAAACGTCCTATGCACCTCCGAGCAATTTACTCCAACATCATTGACTTTGTGAATGTGGTGGTGATTTTTTTTTTTTTTGCGGACACACGATATTTTACCTCTAGTTTCAAGAGCGCCGTTCTTAACAATCAAAGGCATGTCATTGACGCGGTGAACTCGAATCAATTTACGTTTGAGCACGCGCAAATTCACGTTTATTTAAGCTGTTTAACTGTGCAGGCTTCGACGTTGGCATGAACGATCCACTGGAGAAGATCGGGCGCATGTACAAGCAGCTGGGCATCAATGGTCACCGGTGGCAGGGAGATGGTCTCTCCAACTGCGTCCGCTTTCTGGTTCCCGTCGCTAGGCTCCGGCAGGCCGTCAAGGCCCGCGACAACCGGAAGGGCTACATGGACAAGGTGTACCACTGGACCGTTGACCTGCCACACTTCATCAGGAAAAGTGTCGAGTAAGACCCTACCACAAACACTGACTCGTTGTAACACAAAACTACCCGCGGAGATTAGGGGGCCGAATTCACAAAACTTGTTTCTTAAGTGCGTTTTTTATTGGTTAGGCAGTTCATTAGGTTATGTTTTGTATCATGACTGAAATAGTATCTTCTGAAAATCTTTAGTGTGAGACGGTTTTGAAAAATATGGGCTCTGGGCAGGTGTAATCTCAGTGGTGGTGACCCCATTTGGATGGTGTTGAAGTGCTAAAGCAATGGCGTAAGTTTAAAAACCCGACCAGGGGCCAATTTCTACCCAAGATTTCTATGGAGAGGGGGGGGGGGGGGTCCATTATCTTCTGTTTAGCTGCACCGCAGTAGTGCTTTGGCTAACGTACTCGGCTGCCGACCCACAGGTCATGGGATCGAATCCCAACTGCGATGGCTGCACTTTCAATAAAGGCGAAAATGCTCTAGGCTCATGTGCACAGATTCGGGGTCACGTTAAAGAGCCCCAGGTGGTCGAAATTCGCGGAGTCTTTCACTACGGCGTCTGTCATGATTATATGCACGTTTTGGAATGTCAAACCCTCTACATCAATCATCTTCTATGTATGTTCTTTCATGTGTATGTGTGTGCGTGTATATATGCAATGTAAAATTGAAAAATATTTGGGAGGCGATTTATTCCCCCCTCCCCATTGGCTACGTCAATGAACCAGATGTAGTCGCAAAGCTAAAGTCATCGTCTGGAGTACATATGTAAATAGCACAGTCCTTGAGGTATTTGCATGCTACTGGTATACGGGATCTACGCGCACATGGTGAGATGGCGACAAGTGTTCCAATCAACTGCTTGGGTGAGAACAGAAAGACATACGACATACCACTGAACTAGCAACTGAATTTCAAGCCACAGCTGAACAACTGAACCGGATTCATTTGAAGTCCAGCAATATGTTGTATGTTTTTCGGTGCTCGTCCCACTAGTTTGCTACAACCCTTCTAGATGTATGCCCATAATGAGCTCAGGAAAGTGTAATTCTGGATGCGACGACTTATGCATCCGACATGCCCCGCCGCGGTGGTCTATAGTGGCTAAGTTACTCGGCATCTGACCCGCATGTTGCGCGATCAAATCCCGGCTGCGGAGGCTGCATTTTCTATGGAGGCAAAAAATGCTGTAGGCCCGTGTGCTCAGATATGGGTGCACATTAAAGAACCCAGGTGGTTGAATTTTTCGTAGTCCTTGGCTACGGCCATAATCGTATGGTGCTTTCGTGCATTAAACCCCACATATCAATTAATTATGCACCCGACATGCATAGATGAATGAGTGGTGCCTCTGCCTCCTTTCCTATCTTACTCTTTCAGTTTTCTTCGGAGCGAAGCTCCTTAAAACCTCACTATGTCTATCTGGTTTTCAATCCGTCCGTGCGCCGTACACAGTCGAAGTGCAGATGCAAAGCATCTCTGCGCAAAACCGTCTACAAAGCTCACATATGGTTTAAAATTAGACCATCCATCCATGTATCTATCCATCCGTCTGTGCGTACATCCGTCCGTGCGTCAGTTTTTCCGTCTGTTTGTATGTGCGTCCATATGTTCGTCCGTCCGTGCGTCAGTTCATACATCCATTCGTCCACCAGCGCATCCGTACGTCTGTACTTCCAACAGTCGCCCATGCGTTTGTGTGCCTGTTCGTCCATCCATTATTGCCTCCGTCCACCCACCCATTCATCCATCCATTCATCTGTGCATCCTTTATACTAGTCGGTAACTTCAAGAAGACAACAGTGACTTTAAAGGGACCGTGCAACACTTTTTGAGCATGGTCAGAGAGCGCTTCCGATCGGTAGTAGAGGCTCCCGAAAACACGCGGGCTAAATATTATGGCACCGCATGTGGCCTGAAATTGACAATAAATTATCAAAGTAAGCTAAAAATTGCTTTTTGTTCTCTCGACAAATGACGGAAGACGCTGAAAAATCACTCGTGGAAAGCCACCTATCAGCCATTAACTGATTTGAACATGGCGCGCTCTGTCGTTACAGAAATCGCCGTTGGAGGCCGCGGCTAGTCCACGTGCTCGTGCGCAATAACACTGAAAAGACCACGTATTTCAAGAAAAAAAAGAGAAAAAGTGCTCAAGGTCATGATGAGCGCCTGACGTATTTTCTTTGCCCCTGCCATCCCTCTCTGCTTAGCTTACAGTGCTCTCGTCGGGACGAGAGCAGAGAGAACGCAATTGCAGCATGCGAAAAAATCTCAGTAACTCTCTACTCGCACTGGACGAATTCTTACAATTTTTGCAGCGTTCAATTCATAAAGCAATAACCTTTGCTAGTGAATTCATTCTATGGTTTCTTGAAAATTTGTTTCCATGCATATATGCGCGCAATTTTTTTCTATACCCTTCCCTATACACTGCTTCTGTATAAACAAACTGGTATAGAAACAACATTATGTGGTATGTGACTACCGTAGCATTACCAAAAAGCAGCTTTTCAAGGAACCAGTGAAGCATCAGTGGTTCACTCATGCCGGTAATTGAAACCCAGGGCACATGGGGCACAAAGGACTTGTCATGCAACATTATATCTAATGAAATCCTTAAAGTTTTTAAGCCAGGCAACCGTTTAAGTGTATTCGTTGGCACTGTTCTTGAAGTCTTTTGTTGATGTCCGCACTCGCACTGCGCGCCCCAATGGCACGTTGGCGGTAATATGGGAAGTCTTTTAAATGATTAAGAAATGCTCACAAATCAGCAGATTTTTAAAAAATTCTGCTGTTTTGTCTGTGTATCCACACATATGCATTACTTATCAACTCATCTTGACGCACTAGCAAACAAGAAGTAAGTGTGCAGCTCGCACGGCTTCGGCCACTTTTTTATTAGCTTTATTTTTATGACGAAGTAGGGGGGGGGGGAATCATGTCGACGCTTTCTACAACGTATTTTTGGACTGAATATACGACCATCGCCTTCGTAAATGTTTTACAATTGACACGTTGCAATAATTTTTATAGTAATTGTTAGTGTAACGTCCCAATTTGATATTTTGGTTTGACGTCCGAAATCCACGCATACGATTATGAGAGACGCCATAGTGGAGGACACCAGAAATTTCGACCACCTGGGGTTCTTTAACGTGCACCTAACCTAAATCTAAGCACACGGGCCTACAGCATTTTGGTCTCCATCAAAAATGCAGCCGCTGTGGCCGGGATTCGATTCCATGACCTTCGGCACTTACAAAGAGGCATGTATATATATATATATATATATATATATATATATATATATATATATATATATATATATATATATATATATATATATATATATATATATATACGTCTAAGGCAAAACAGTATCGCGCAGACGCTCACACAAAAGGGGGGTGACGAGATTTTGAAAACGAAGCAAGTATGGAGAGGTCACGCGGATATAAATACTTTAAAATCGTGCAGTAATTGCTCACAAGAAATTCACCTACCTATTATACTTTACTAAAGAGCGGTCCTTGTGTCAACTGGTGCTCTTTGTAACTATTTTAACGATATATAGGCTTCATTATTTATTTCAAACTGATTGCCATGCGCAGGCATGGTGTGGACGGAATCATCACGAACCGGCCGGACAACGTGCTCCAAGTACTGAACAGCACTCCGTACAGTGAACTTCTCAAAGTTGCCGACTTCAACGACAGTCCGTGGACGCGGTTCATTGAGCCAATGTTGAGGAACGAGACGGAGCGTGACATGGAAGTCCTGGGTGGAGGAGAAGTGGAAGAGCGTCTCAGTCGTCCCGCCAACTTCGACCCTTACGAGATAACTGCGGTTTGGACGGAGTAGAAATGGGTGCCGTGTCTTGTGACCGTACACCATAGACTGAGCTCCAACGTGCCGTTTCAAACTTCCAGTGAACGCCGCGAAACGTCGGCGTTCCAAGAACGCAGCGACAAGGGCAACTGCAAAAATACTTCGCCGTGGATAACGTGGAACATGAACAACGCGAAGGCCAACCCTTGATATGGGGGCACTATGAAGGGTCATTCCATTAAAGAAGTACTGCAACTACAGCATACATAGCTACAAATGGTAGCTGCACAGAAAACTAGAGTGTAAGAGCAATCAGCACATTTCAAACGTGTTGCAGTAACGCAAAGTTTGTAAAATAATGGAAAAAGGAAGAAAGACAGATGTGCCTTTCCTCTACCTGTTTCCTTTGTTATAAACTTTGGTTTACTACATCATGTTAAGTAAACAACAACTCGCCCAAGAAGAAGTTATCCTGCACTCAATATCATCATGTACGAATACACCCCTCACCGATGCGTTCGTGCTAAAAGGACATACGGGCGATCGTATTCATTGATGGCATACTGACAAATATGTTCATATTAATTTGCAATAAATAATCATTCTACATTTCTATTCAAAAGCCTCACGTTGTGTTGAACGCTGTGGACACTACAGGTGCCCTAAAAAATGATTTCAAGAAGGGTTTCGGGTTTGGCAACACCGGCTTTTTTCTGTTATTCTCATTCACATATTTTCGCGCGTGAGCCGTTGTGCCTATCCTCGACATTCTAACGGTATAAACAGAGCACAAATATTCGCGTACACGCACGCACGCACGCACGCACACACGCACACACACACACACACACACACACACACACACACACACAAAATAAGATATGCGTGAGGATTGTTATTGTTTTTGAGGGGTACGGCTAGGCAGCGATAACTTCGGGGTATGTTAGAACCACCAGGTGCATCCCTGAGTGTGCCACAAGATATCTCTTAGCGTTTTCAACATGAAACCAAGAGCTAGATTGGAGGCCACAACTCTAGCAGTCTGGTCTGTTTATTCTCAGACCACTCACATTTGGTTCCAATTCAATTGTTCCATCTTTAAATATCCCCCCCCCTTCCTTACATGAAGTACTGGACAGTGGAGAATACTGCGCGGTGCTGTGTAGAAATAGTGCGTGGTAGAGTACACGAAAGACAAGCAGAGGGGGACAAGCTTTTATGATCCGTATTCTCTTCGGCGCAGTATACATCTATCAAGATTCACCAACTGGCCCAATCAACCATTTGGACTTTGCAAAGAGCGAGAGCACTCATTTTTTTACGAACCCGTCCTTATGTTAAGTGTGACTCTATCTCAGCTCCAGCTTGAAAATGTCCCGGCCGCTGACGTGAAGACGAGTGCTATACCCAAAAGTAGGTTCATTAAACAGAAAATTTGAGAGATTGCCGTTGAAAACATGGAAATGATGATGATTATGATGATGATGATGATAATGATGCATTAAAGTGGCCCATACCCATTCAGAGGGATCGGCCAAGAACTGATTACCTGAATTAGGCGTTCTCAATATTGAATATTTATAAAAAAAATGATGCTCGTAAAACGTACAGAGTCCTATAAGTGTTGTTACCCCGTTCAGACCAGACTGAATAAATATTGTCTTGACTAACACTGCATGAGGTTCCTCGACGTTCTCCTTGTACTTCATATACTATGCACAACCCGATTCGGGGAATAGGTCTTAAGAACTTAAACCCATCCACTCGGACAGTGTTAAGAAATTAGTTCACTTGCTGAAGGAAACGGTTGGAAAATGAATAGTTTTAGACATTACACATTTAATGCATGCATGCACTTTCATCCTCATCGTCACCGCCACCACTATATCACGGAATCGAAAAGACAAGGAAGACGCGTGTGTTCTGCCATCCCGTCCCCTTTCTTCGAGGTCTTCGTGCTTCTCTACCGTAACTCGACCCTGACAGCAACCGTGATGACATCGGAAAGTACACCAATCGTAAGTAGAAATTAGGGAGCTTTTAATTGGGATTACCGATACTCCAGCCACAGACATAGGCTTGAGTGCGGGGGAAGGGGGGTGCACCCACTAGTCTCCTAAGAAAGGGGCGCATTGTCGGCCTACATAATAGGGGGTAGGGGCACTTTCTAGTCAGTGAATAACATTATGCTGTGAGACTTCGCGTAATCTGTCAGCCTTGTGCTTCATGTTGAGCTAGTTGAGACGCAGTTTCGTTGTGTGGTTCCTAGGCGCGCGTGCACCACGACTGTATTAATGCCGTAGCTCCTGTTTATTGAAGTCGTTTTCACCATATCGCCGTCGCCGAGTCCTCAAAATCTGATTGATGTTGGTCGTGTTGTCTACTCGCAAGGAACCTTAAAATAGCGAATCGGGAGTGTCCAGGCGGGCAGTGCCATCGGGCACGGTTAGCTCCCCCTCCTTCATAGGTTTTGTTCACCTTGCCATTTATCGTTATTGTTATCCTTCCACAGTGTGTTCCTTCATTCAGCATTCCCTCCACATCGGCATAACAATTGCATTGTCTTCTCTCAACAAGTATTTTATTTATAGTGGACCGAACACCATTTGCAATAGAAATAAAAAGTATTCACTGCATTTTTCTCGACTATTTCGTGAATAACTATCTTGAAAGCACGTCTTCTTTCTTTTTGTAAGGTTTTGCGGCTGTCTATAAGTGTGTCACTTGGCAAGATATTTATTTTGACTTTCGAATGAATGAATGAATGGGTGAAGATGTGGTAATGGGTAATACAAGTATTTAACGTGTTCTTTTTCGTACTCTCTGGCACCTTTTATGGTACATTGTACAATGGTGGATTCAATTCGACGTCGAAATCTCTCATCACCTTTGATGTGTTGCAATAGATATTGCAAGTCTGTGATTTTTCTTGTTTCTTTCTTGTTTTCCTCATAGCCTTGTTTTTATTAACGGGTTATTTGAATTATTGGTAACTCATCTACTGCCAATTCATTCTTCCAAGTTTTTGTGATGCAGAGTGTTCTGCAATTATTCAATGGGCTTGCGAAAATAATGGCAGGCCTGCGTGGAACGCGCCGCACAATCACAGCGAAAGCTAGAAGAGCGGCCTTTCAGGGCCTCTTCTAAATACTCTGGGGTGCTACAAGCAAGCTGCTGGGTACCCACTACGTTATAAATAATCATAAATGTTGTGCTGTAGGCTAGCATTCAATACGTTATCCTTCGTAATTATTAGGAGAATCGTGGTATCCGCTACACCCTTGTTAGAAGTTTTGTGCAATTTTTGATGCATGGGGCTGACGACGATGAAGAAGAAATATGCCTTAAGTGGGCATGCGCCACAGTTAATAGGCGATCAAGAAAAAAATTTCTAATGGGTTCGACGACCCATTATTAACTCGTTACGCAATTCGCCTCGTGTGACGCCTAGCTGTTCTTTTGATGTTCCAAAACGCTTTATTACTCATAATAGCGTTAACACATAGAAAAGAGCCCTGAGTACTAGAAATATGTTGCAGTAAGCAGGTAAGTTGGCCCAGTTGGTTGGCTGAGATCAAAATGACGCGATTCCTTTCCCGACATCAAGCTTGCCCATGGCCAGTTCAGAAATGAGTTAGAAGCACTGGCACGGCTCAGGGGTAGAATACTGGGTTTGCACGCAGCGGACTTGGGTTCGACTCCCATTGTGTCATTGGTATATTTTTTGAGTGATTTTTTTAGTTCGATACTAGTTATGGACACCGGCGGCGGCGGCGGAGAACTACGGCGCCACGCGTGACCCTTGTTCTGATCTCATAAGAGCTTTCTTCGCTCTAAAAAGCAGGCCTTTAGTAGCAGTATAGACACTATCAGTATAGACAGTAGCAGTACGCAATTAACTTGGTCTGCTCAATCGGACATTTCCATGTCACTTTCGCGATACAACACATGCAAAGAGTTCAGTGCTATCACGCGGTCCGCCCTTCTTTATTTAGAGGCCACACACGACCAATGTAAATATTATTAGCTAAGTTATGAGTGTGTGCAAACTTAAATACTGAGAAAAACTGTTGGCTCACTCTGTATCAACGCTTTTAATTTAATCAAAGCGTCAAGATTATAAAACGACCCACAAAGTTGTAATGCGTTGATGCATCATGGGTGCGATATCGGGGCTGTATTACTTGAGTTTTTTGAGACAGTCCAAACAACGCGAACCTTGTGGCTTAAATGTGAGCATCTTTGAAAGATTTGTGAAGGTGTAGCATCTAACTTGACCTTGCGGTGTCAGACCACATGTTTTTTGCAGGATGCCTTTCAAGAACAGCCGAAAGTTGAAAGCCAGAATCTGCCGCAAGACCAGCAACTGTCTCAAGCGCAGATTCTTTCACAGGCTAAGCCGCATCCACAAGAACAGCCACACGAACAGCCACAAGAAAAACAGAAGGAACAGTCGCAGGAAAAGCCGCAAGAACAGCCACAAAAGGAGCCACAGGAACAGCCAAAAGAGCAGCTGCAGACCCAAATGGAGGCACCGCCGAAGCCTCAGCTGCATGACCAGCCATATCAGGGACAGTTTCAGCCAGATGTTCAGATGAAAAATGAGCCCCAAACACAGCGCCAAGATCAGCAGCAGGATCAGGAGAAGGCTCAGGTACAGGATCAGATGAAGGATCAGCAGAAGAATCAGCAGGGTGCTCAGCCACAGGCAAATCCACAGCCTCGGCCAAAAACAAAAGGGCAGATTCAGCAGCAGGCTTTAGAGGCCCCCACGCCGGTCGTTGAGGACAAGACCTTCGGCACAGTCGTCCTCCAGATTTTGGGCCTAGCCGTAGCAATTGCGCTATTCACTGTCGTGCTAGCGTTCGTGTTCAAACGCCATAAGTTCGCTGCGGCTTCAGGACCCGACCATGCCATGTGCTCCAGCAGCGCCTGCGACCGACTAGCAGGGGGTCTCATTTCCAGTATTCAGCCGGAGTTGGACCCTTGCGACGACTTTTACGCTTACGTATGCGGACGGTACACTGGCATGCATTCTACTGGTGACGTCTTTAGCGACATGGAGGCGGAGCTGTGGAGGCTGGTCAAAGACAAGGTTGTCTCAGGCACTGACCCTGCTTGTACGTATATACAAGAAACGTCGAACGTGGCCTCCTTTTAGTGGGGTCCGAGTCGTTCACCACAAAATGTGCACTTTACTGCCATTAGCCGCTTAATCTGATTTATAACGTGCTATTTTCCGTTTCGTGCTATTATGATGCTAGAACGAAACTTCACCGGTGTAAAAAACAACCGCTGTACTAAATAATTATTATACTCGAACAGTTAGCCTAAACACATCTCAGATGACCTTAAACGGTCGCATTACGACAAATAACTGACCGAAATGGGCGAGTATATAATAGTAATTCGTTTTTCATATAAGCTGAGTTGCCCGTGAATAATTACACTCCAATCAGGCAGCAGGGTATTAGCACATAATGACGGTTGTATGTTTTGCAAACTCAAAACCATCAACACAACTTTTTAACAAGAAGGTGTTTATAAAAATGCCCCTTGTCAAAATCCTTGGGCTAAATCAGTTCACCCCTTGAAAAGCAGATGGACCTAACATGAAGCTACCTTAGTATATATAAGTATTATTGAAATGATTACAAATGATTTTATGCCGGCAAGCCTTCATGACACGCTTTTGAAGAATTCGGGTTAGCGCGCTGTAATAACAAAAAGAAGAGTTTCTAACATGCGTGACCTTTATGGGCGCAGTTGCAACGGTAACAACAACGCCCATGCCATCGCGTAACTCCCTTCTGAACAAGATACAGGCTCTGTTCGCGTCTTGCCTCCGGCCTCCCGTCAACGACTCCACAGCTCCCCTGAAGGTTTTCGTCGACAGTCAAGGGCTCGGATTTTCCGGAAAAGCCACTGCAGTCGATGCCGTGCTTATCATGTTGCGGCTATCGTACCTGTATGACGTACAGTCGGTGCTCAGCGCACACTTGCTCGCCGTGATGTCCCAGCCTCGCGCTGTGCTTCTTAGGTATGTACAGAAAAGCATAGTTCTAGATGGACTGGACACGTTTCAGTCGTCAAACCTTGAGCGAGTCCATAAATCGATCGAAAAGAAGAAGCTCGGGAGCCGAAACGTGTGTTAAAAGATAACTCAAGGTCCCGATATGATAAAACTCGATTGATGTGTGGGGTTTAACGTCCCGAAGCCACCATATGATTATGAGAGACGCCGTAGTGGAGGACGCCGGAAATTTTGACCACCTGGGGTTCTTTAACGTGCACTCAAATCTCAACACACGGGCCTACAGCAATTTCGCCTCCATCGAAACTGCAGCCGCCGCTGCCGGGATTTCATCCCGCGACCTGTGGGTCAGCAGCCGAGTACCATAGCCACTAGACCACCCCAGTGAGGCAATTATAAAACTTCAAGGTGTAGCTAAGAGAAGGGACTTCATCACTATTGCTCACAGTTAAAAGAATGGACAGCTGAGTTTGAGATCTTAAGAACAGCTTGGGCTTATTGATACGTAACATATGTGGAATAATACGCACTTGCAGGGCCTCGGTGTAAGCAAGACGACGTGAACTCTATTAGCAAATGTTTATTTCAAAAAGCAGGAAAAGAAAACATGTGGGCAACTGAGTGAGATTGGTACGCCCATCAGGCAGAATTGGCATGAGCTATGGAAAATCAAGAGAAAGCAACACAAGTTCCATTGAAGATAAACTAATAGAAAGCATGCTACACAAGGTGGGTGTGACCCTTCAATGACTTCAGCTGTCTTGTGTACTACATTTGCTTTATTCTTGACAATAACACCAACATAATAAAGTTCAGGCTAACATTCACACGTGCCGCAAAGCACGTGCGGGTGAGAGAGAGAGTAAAGGTGATTCTTAAGAGACAAAGGAAGAGAAAAGTGAGCCCCGTAACTGTCTGCTTCCGTGAGCGACACCTCAACAGTAGCTCACAAGGGATGGGGGTGAGGAGGGATAAAAGGGGTAGGAGTAAAGGAGTAGAAAAGAGGAAGAGACGTGAGGTGGTAAGCCAGAAGGAGCGACAACAAACTGAGGGGATAGGAGAGATAGGAAAGATGCAAACACGGTCACAGGAGTCCGAGCACGGGGCACCACTTGCGAGAGCTCTTGTCGGCGTCAGTAGATGGCGTAGAGCAAGTCCAGTCGGTCAGAGCTACACTGTCGTCGAAGGTCGTCGGCGTCAGGAGGTGACGTAGGGCGAGCCCAGTCGGCCAGATCTACGCTGACGCCGGAGATCACGAGGGCGCAACCGGTCGGCACGGAATCCAGCAAGCGAGTCCGCGGGTGATCTCAAGACTGTGGTCGCCTGTACGACCATAGTTTTTCAGAGAGCATCTCTTAGGCGCCCGTTCCTGCGCTGAGCGGCGTCGTCGTCATTACCGGCAGAGCGGACGAGGACGAAAGAAAGCGAACACAAAGCGCAGCGGAGGACGAAAGACGGTGATAGCGAGGAGAGCGCGAGGAGGAGGGAACAACAGTAGCGAGACGACAGGTTCCGCGGCGGCCACCCACGGTGCCACAGCATCGCGCCGTCATGCGTTCAGGCTGTTGTGGAACGCGCCCACGCGATGCCTTCCGCGGTCTCTTGATTATAGCGAGGCAGTCATGCTATGCTCTGTCTGCGTTGCGAAATGAGCTCCCCAAAAATGTCCGTGCCAATCACGCTACTCACTGGCATTCTCTTCTTATAATCATCTGCAGTCTCAGCCATAGAATTGAAAGGTGGGATAGTTGGTAACTCATGATGGTTCAGTGAACTGGGAGCGCGGGGGTAAACACAGACACAAAGCGTGCTGTGTGCCTCCTCTTTGCTTCGTGTCTGTGTTTACCCCCCGCGCTCCCAGCTCGCTGAACCATCAGTCTCAGCCAGTTTGTTTATGAACAATGAGCGACGCAAATTGTCAAAAGTGCGTCGTCTGCCGCTGCTGCAATAAACGCCCTGCCCGAGCACAGGCTTAACGCTACCGTCGACAGAATCCAGAGGTGCGCGCCACTCAAACACAAACGTTTGCCTCAACTTATCACAAAATCAAAACAACGAAGAATCTGTGGTCAAATTTTGCATCAGGCAGTGTCGTAATAATTGGTAATGTGTCATGCCTCTTGGGTCACCCCGTATACAGCCTTCTTACTTGCTAGTTTTAATTGTAAAAGGTGGAAAATTTGCACACTTAATTCCGTTAGCGTCCTGACGACACCAGGCCGTCTTATTGAAAAGTTGGCCCCAGAGACGAACCCATTATCGTATACGTGTATATCACACCATCTTCGCGTATCGGTGGCTTTCCGGAGCCCTCCACTACGGCGTCTCTCGTAACCATATGGTGGTTTTGGGACGTTAAACCCCGCATACCAATCAATCTAATCAAGAACTCACAAACCCAACATATAGGTCCTCCGAGGAGCGCCCCACTAAGCCTGCAGCATTGACTATTTCAATGTGATTTTTCGAAAATAGTGCCGAATCCATACAAATACTTCGCTGTCGAAGCCTAAAAACATGAATACAAGGCAAATAAAAGCACAAGTTTGTAGCTAATAGGCTTGATGGGTCATTCATTTGATAGATCACTTGCAATCACTTGATACGGTCACTTTATAGATTTCAGGTGGACGGCAATCACTTTCGGTGGTGCGGCATGTGCACCAGCTTCACCGCAATGTGTAGTTTCTAGCAGCATCAGAAAACAAATGCACTACTAAAGGTAGCATATACAGCGATACTAGATGCATCGACTGAGAAGAAAATGATCCATAAGACGTCTTTCGCCTTCGAATAGACTTGGACAAATGCATTTGGAACCCCGTGACTTTTCTTGCGAGTACAGGTTAAAGCTATAAAACCTTGCCAATTTTGCTTAGGGAGAGCACGTAGGGAGCGGATATAGATGAAAGTAGATGAGAGTAGAGATGGAAGTGCTCATCAGTGTTCACTGTAACGTTCTCAGGGCTTCGGTGAACAGGCGGTATACGTGTGGTAGTATATAGAGTAGAGTACAGATTAGAGTAGAGATTAAAGTGCTCATCAGTGTTGACCTGTTTAGTGTAACGTCCTCAGGGCTTCGGTGAACAGGCACTACGTGCGATGGCTGGGAGACAAGCCAGACAACGTGTCCTTCAGCTACCACGTTTTGCTGGACGTCTACGGTGAGGTGGAAAACGCGGATAAAGTCGTCCAGCTCGTCAGCGCCACCGAGAACGTTGTACGCCGCTCAGCGATGTCCGCAATGAGTGCTAACGCAACCCCTCTGGAACCTATTCTGGTAAGAACACGAGCCTGCTTGAATACTTCACTTGGCTGCAAATGAAATATATACATAGACATGCTTGTCGTTTCTGCCAGCAATATAGCCATGCAATTGATCCAAGAATTGATTCAAATTTAATATAAAAACGCGTTGATAAGATACTCTCCAGTTTTTTGTATTGTAAAATTCGTTTTCAATCGCAAAATGTTAAATAAGGTGCACTATGGTATATTATAAGTCTTATTAGTTTTTTTTCTTTTTTCTTTCTTTTTCTTCCATCTATGCAAAATTTCTCTATTATTCTGAGTTCCACAAAAGCAGTATCCACGAAGTAGCGATTAACCTATTCTAGCACGTGCAATTTGTCAGTTTTGTGTGTTTCTGACACTTCAGAAATCTGGCAGAGAGAGCAATATCACCCCTGATGTTTGTTTATTGCTTGTTATTCAACTATAGTTGTGAATGAGGGCACTAGAGTATTTCCCTATAATTCTCTTTTCTGAGAGTACAGCAAAGAAAACTCTACTTCTACACATCACTGAATTAAGCGCCTTTTAATTTCCGTAGATTTTGTTCGAACACTTCGCACTCACTAGTTAATTTCTCGGGTATAGGACGAATCCGAAACTCCCACTCTAAGTAATGAAAAACGAATTGCTTTAGAACCTTAAACAACATCCGGGGTTTCGTTGCGCTTTATAAACACGGCAGGAAGACACGGATTTCCGCTACTACGGAAACGGCGCCACGAAGACGCTTCTGTCGACGCTGCGCTCTTCGCTGTCACCCGATACACTTCACCTCCTGGTGTCGTGGGACGTGGTTCGAACCATGGCGCCCGTCGTGTCTCCCGCCACCGTGCCCGGAGAAGGGGGCACACGTTTCAGCCGCTGCTGGGGACTTGTCCAGCGCAGCCTCGGGGTGAGACGCAACGCATGTTCAAACATACCATGCGAGCCTAACCTAATAAACAATTGTATCAGGCCAGTTGGTAAGGATCTATCTTGCTATAACAGGTTCAAGACGCGTGGTCTAGGCTAGGTTACGTTAGATTAGGTTAGGTTAGGCTCCATCTTGCTAGACAAACACTTCCTAGCAAGATGGTAAGCGATTGCATTGTGTGTTCTGTGTAATAGTGGCTGCGCTTCCTAGCCAGATGGAGCCTAACCTAACCTAATCTAACGTAATCTAGCCTAGACCACGCGTCTTGAACCTGTTCTACACCAGCTGACCCAAACATACAGTACTATCTGGGTTTTTACGTGCCAAAGCCATGACATGATTGAGGCATATCGTAGTGAAGGACATCAGAAATTTCAACAATCTGGTGTTCTTTATTGTGCAGTGACGTGTCACAGTACACGGGTTTGTAGCATTTCGCAAACAATGAAATGAAACCGATCCGGCCTGAATCGAACCCGTGACCTTCCGATCAGCGGCCGAGCAGAGTAATCACTGTACCACGGAGTCGGACCCTAACCTAATCTAACCAGACATAGCCCGAGCTCAATTAAAACTTAAAAAACTCGAACACCACTGCATATTAGAGAAAAATACAATTGGTTTCCTTTGCACTGATCCCTGGGTGTACATTCATAAAAAAAAAATGTATCGTGAATGCTAACTAAGCCCTCAAAGTCATACTACTGGGACACTTATTTTTCTATTTGCTTACTTTAACGAAGCAGTAAGTTCAGACGCTATTACTCACTAGCGGCCCGTTGTAAGATGAAATTGTATATCATGCGAAGAAAAAGCACCCAGAAGAATTATTCCGCTAGTCGGAACAAATTTTTAATGAATATACAAGACACGTCGTAAATCGTATAATAAGCAAAACAAACGCATCTAAACGGCTCTCCAAATTCTTGAGTTACATTTGAAGTACGACAGATGGCCAAAAATATTTCTACAGTCTCGGGAGTCAGCTTTCGCTGAAGCAGTGAATTCAAACTTCTCAAAGATACATTTAATATTTGTGTGTAAAGCAGGGCATGTAGTGTAGCACATCTATGACAAAATTAACCTTTTTAGTGTCTCTCTACGTGCAAGGCTTCATTAGTTTCAGTTTCAGTTTTTATTAGTTACAAAGCATCGATTACATAAGACTTGTATACAGATGAAAGTCCCAGACTGTATATACTGAAAACGAGACCCACAGTTAAAAACTACAGCAAAAGTTAATTGAAAACAATCGGCAGAAGATTAGCACGTGATAATAAGAAACTCGTACAAGACAAAACAAGCAGCAACATGCAACAGTTGAAAAAAAGTGAAATAATACAATAAAACGAAAGTCACAATGCGAAAATATTATAAAAAGAGCAATGCAATGGAAAGTCAAATAGGACACACCGAAGTAATACAAAATAAAATTAGAAAAATCACAAAGATTGAACGAGGCAATGAAGATTTTACATGGGAAACAGAAATAAGTACATAAAATAAATCAGGACAAGTGGAAAAAATTATACACCATAACTAAGGTGAGCGATCAGGAGTTAAAAGGAAAGATTTCATTGATGTTTTGAAAAAGGAAAATGAGGGCAAAGATTTTAGTTCAGACAGCAAACTATTCCAAAGATGACTGGTAGAGAATTTAGATGTTTTTTACCGTAGTTAGTGCGAACGTGTGGTAGCAAGTAATTATGATTAAAAGCAAACCTGGTGGGGTAAGTATTCTTGAGCGAGCTACATTCAATATATTCAAAGGAGATATCATTCGCAGGGTCCAAAGTTATACTTGCACTGCTTATTTACTACATTAGTTGGTATCGAAAGCTTGTACCAGCTTACAGCAAAAAAACGAGCATTGTACACCAGGGGATGCTGTGACATTGGTTAGTTTGATTGTTCAGAATTGATTCGCGCTGTTAGAACTTTGTGTACTTGGCCACCATCAGCTGCTCACCGTCACCGTCAGCTGCAAAAATATCAAAGCACTTTTTTTTCAGTAGGGACACCACAGTGTCTCCTCATGTAATGCAAATGAGTACTGTGGCATGCCGCAAGGCACCGGAAAGAATTAAGAAAAAGAAAATAGACGACCATCCAATTTGTAGCCCGTTCCTTTTGGCTTCATGCTACAAATCGGGTGGTTTTCTGTTGACAAGTGTCTTCTCATAATAGAAGGGAAAAGAAAGGGGGTCTTATAACGGAAGTCAAAGCTAACAAACAGCAGCACTTCGTTCTTGACCAGCATTATTAAGTATTTTGTTCAATTTTTTTTCACTCAAAACGTATCTAATTCTTGTTTTGTTACTCTGTTTCTTTCATTTTATACTTGTAGGTTCCCGCCGTCATGACGTATCTGCTTCACAATTTAGTTCCCAACACGACGGAAGCGCTTCACAAGATGACGAATGAGCTGCGCGCCACGTACAATGCGCTTTTCAGCAACGAGGCCTTTATTTGGAACTCCGTTCCAAGGACGACCCTCATTGAGTTCCAGGAGCTTCAAGCGACGCCGCTTTTCTTTCCATCGGGTGTTGAATCGAAAGAACAGCTGGACGCCTTCTATGAAGCCTACCCATACACTCGCGAGGACGACAGTTTCCTCGAAAACTGGCTCACGGTGCACCGTCTGGTCGACGAGACTCAGAGGAATGCTAGCGGGCTCGACATCAGCATCATGTTGACGCCTAACGCGATGACCCTCGCCTCTGCCACGACGAACAAGATCGTGCTGCCGGCACCTGCCCTGTTGCTGCCTCTCTTCTCCGCGGACGCTCTCGCTTCGACGAATTTCGCTGGACTCGGACACGTCCTGGCTCATGGCATGCTTCGCAAGCTCCATAATGCGCTGACAGGACCCGGCGAGAGCAACGGAAGCGCAGTTCTGGAACCGTACAACCAGTGTGTGCAACGGAGCTCGCCAATCTACGATCCCTCTCCTTCAGCTTCGGATGCCGGCGCGACGTCAGAAATCGACAGTGTGGCAGACCTCGTGGGCCTGCACGTCTCTTACGAGGCGTTCTCGGAGCGTTTGCAACGCCGTACTCTGCCGTACACTAACATGACCGAACAGCAGGTCTTCTTCGCCATGCACTGCTTCAAGTTTTGCAGGATAGCGCCGGCGATGCAAAGACTGCAGTACGCAACGCCGACCAGTGGACAGGACGCAGCTAGTAGGGCGTTCAAGGCGTCTCGCGAAAGGTGCAACGCACCTCTGAGGAACATGAAGGCCTTTGCAGACGCCTTTAAGTGCAGGCCGTCATCACCGATGAATCCGGACAGAAAGTGCACATTCTGGTGACCACGGCACGCGGCTGTCAGATTCCCGAAGTGCTCCGCTGAGATGCGCGAGAAGAGGTTTTTCAGCCGCAGAACTAATACGAGATCTCTGGCAAGAAATAAACTTTAAGCGGTATATGGCACAAGATAGCCTTGGTTTACTGCTGTTGTTCTTCGTGCTGCCGGTTGCATAAAGTAGAGCTAAACGTTCTTTTCTGTGTACTTCGCTAAGATAAACTCAAGCTGTTTTTTAATTTGTATTTCATCTTATATAACGTGCAACTTATCTATGCCGAATACCTCATAACATGTTATGAGGTATATTTTTTATGTTTTTCACCGATAGTTCGCAAGATTTGCCGAAATGTGAATACCAAACCTGTCGGCCACACGGAGTAAGCCTGTAAGGCGTCAATGCAGCGGTGCCAAAGTACGAGAGGAAAGGGTCTTCTTTTGTGTTTTTAAACTAGCTGCTTCACAGGTAGAGAGCAGCAAAAGTAAAAAAAAAGCAATAAGAACCACTGCATAAAAATAGCCTTGAGTGACATGCCCCGAAAAGCAACGCCATGCCTCTCAAATATTATAGGAACGTTAGAACGCTTAGCAGTATTTATTTTCGCCCAGCTGTAGATATCTTAGGTCACACGCGTCACCTTGGGCGTTATTGAAACTTTTGACACAAATTTTTAGAAGTTAAAGAAAATGAATGATTGGTGTCTCAACAATGGCTTTCAAACGTGCCAATCACCAAAGCTCCCAAGGTCCCCACAACGCTGCGAAGTCTTCAGTCTTGGTAAAAAGGGCTCTATTCAAATCACGATGGTTCAAATTCAAGTAAGACGCGTTCGCGTCCTGCAAGCACTTTCACTGAAAAAAAAAAGCTTTGAACTTAATGGGCGCGCAAGCGTGCGGCGTCTTGGCAACAACGCGCGTTGCGCACAAGCGCCGCACAATTCGTGCATCGGGGGCCACTTAACATGCCCTTCGCGGGGTCCAAGTCCCGGCGCAAAGCGTGCGCGTCCCCCATTAGGGAGCGTCTCAGGTTGCGTACCCTCTTATTTTGTGCAATCATATTTCTGCAACTGCGCGAGGAAAGGGTCGTTTCCGGATGGAGGACGTTTCCGATTAATGCTGGGGATGCTGACGCAATCAATAGCCAATGGAAGGGCTGCATCGGCTGGCTCGGAAAGTAAGTGTAGCCTTTTATTGGTTGGAAATTTTATTTTCAAGTCGCTTTTTTTTTACCTATAGAATTAGTTATCTGTACAACATATGACTTGAGTGGCTGTGCACAGCTCGGTACCTCGGGACACAACGCGGAGGACGGAACTATGGCAGTGAGGCGAGCAACCAGCCACATCACCTTGTAGAGCCTAAGAGCTAAAGTAATCGAAGTTATGCTGCTGAAAGAAGCAGTTTGTTGCCTGGTGTTCGTCCAGGGTATGTAAACTCTAATTCTCATATTTCAAATCGGTAAATTTTATGCCTATATAGACTGAATACACCGACTACAAAAAATCGACCACCGAATGTTCATTGAGTAGGACTTGGACCACATCCCAAATCTAGTGACAGAGAAAGTCTTACTTGCACATCTGCGTAGCGTCTACCTAGAATCATAACTATGAGAGTCTTATCTGAACGACTATTCCTTCCTGCTTCGTCAAATTATGTAACCTCCCCTCTTCGCACATCCACACGTTTCGCATGCATCGGATGTTACCATATTGGTTCACCTCAAAGTTATTTGCACATTATAAATTTCTTCGCGAACAAAAATAGTCAGTTGCTAGCATTCGCGGAGCTTTGTTTATTTAACGGGCCAAATCCAAAACCGAAACTATCTCAAATAAGGCTGTATTGGCGTATACATACTTTAAACGTTCCTCTAAAACAGTAGAAATAACTGAATAATCAACCGTGCTAATTTATTATACTGTTTTAGAGGAGAGTTTATTTAGAAGAGAGTTGAGACTATGTATGTGTCAATAGAGCATTATTCCAGCTAGTTTCGGCTTTGGAATCAGCCCATTAAAAAAAAAAGGTGTCCCCATTTCTTCATTATTGACAATCATGTTGATTTCTGTTCTCTTAACAGTTGTCGCGGGCAATGTTACGAGTGAGGCCCCATTGCCGGCTTCTTACTCAAGCATGGGCGAGATCGTGTGCGACTTCTGCCGGGAACACGAAGTAACTTTGATCCCGAGCAATAGTACACTGCAGGAGACGAGTGGTATGTATGACGACGTCACGGTACTGTATTTTGTTTGCAGTCACATGAGCAGATACGGACGGAGGCTACCCGGCAATCTTCATTAGCTGTAACGCAAGTTAGCTAAAAGTGCTGCTCAAGAAGGAAGAGATAAGCCTGGACACAGAAGTTTCATAGTTAATTACGTCGCCAATGCTTGGGCAGCGCCTGAAACTAATTTGTGACTGATTTCCGCACGAAGTGCGCCATGCTACTGGAGGCGTCGCCACGGGCACTGACCTTATGTGCTCTCAATGGGAAAATTTTTGCATGAACTGTAACTGTACAGCCAAAGTAACTGATAAAGTTTGATGGTGGTACAATGGAACCCGATTATATCGAACTCGGGTGAATAAAATTATCCCTTTTACCGAACTATTTTTCAACCCGGCAACGCTTTAGTGCTATTTCAAAGAAAACATCACGGCTACATTGAGTAAAAATATATGCGACCCTTCATACATCGACTATCGGACGGTTCGAAACGCCCAAAGTCGGGTTTCACTCACAAAGCGATGGCTTTTTTTCGCTGAAGGGGGCTTTTCCGCATAGACATAGGAGGGCAAGCTTGCCAGTGCGCGAGTGGTGCCAAGGCGGTCTAAGGCTTCAGGGGTGCGCCGAGTACGCACAGGTGTGTATGAAGTTATTGAAGCACTGTTTACATCACTAGTGTGCTTTCTCGCGTGTACTTCCACTGCATATAACCCTCACCTCCAACTGCAAACAGTAAAAAAAAAAAAATAACAACCCCATCCCACTCTCCCCCACCCTTTTTTACCTTGAAACTGCCTTTTTTGCAATACTATAGAGCGCTGCTGCAAAGCCAGCTTGCGCACTGTAGTTCACGTTGAAATTGCGGAAAGTTCAATGAAAGTTTATGTGGAATTATAGAGTATATCAAACGATGGGATATATCGAACAAGTTCCTGCTTTGCTGCGAGTTATATACGTAATCGTTTGACTACAGTCGCAGTCTGTTACACACAAAACTATGTGATGATTCGCTCACTTCCTCCTTGCAGCGACCTTCGCTGAGATGTTTCATTCTTGCGGCTGCCTCACCGCTTATGCAAACATAGAGAGCCTCAGAGAAAGGCACCAAACACCACCATGGAACCTGGTCTTGTTCCCGGACCCGGTTAAAATATACAAAGTGATGTTGTTATGGGAAAGCATCGAAAAGCTACAGGAAGTGCTGCAGCAAACGGTTAGTGATTATTCCTCGAATATATCATCAGCGCAATGACAACTAGGATTTCGTGGTCCATAAGAACGTTCGCACCATAACCTGTCAGTGTGTGGCATATTTTAGCCATGAAATAACACACACACATACAGAGCAAAGAAGCACACAACAACCACCCACCCTTCCTTGTTGTTGTGTGTTTCTTTGCTCTGCGAGTGTTATTTCCGGCTAAAATATGTCATTAAGCAAGTACCAAGTAGGCCAACACAGAGTCTTGTTAAAACATACATCAGCGTACTTTTCAATGACAAGAGGTTCAAGAACTTATTGTTTGTATAAGTAAAAAAGGAACCTCATTATTTCAATCACGATGCTATTTTCTGCTGTTTTACCTATCCGTATTTACAAGTTTCTTGAAAAAACTGTTGCGATATTTATAGCGACGTACTTTTATATCGTTATTGTACTCATGCGGTACCTCAAATGAAGGAGCTCAAATGAATTCATTCAATCAGCACGTGAACGAATTGAAATAATATTTTCATGATATTCTGACGATTGCTGCAGGGTTCTGCCTTTCACGACTTCAACTGGCAGTTTCCAGTTATGTTGCAGTACTCACAGTTCCAATTACAGCACAGCATCTTCGTCTTTAGTGTCCATCTTTTGTAATACTTCGCTCGCTCGGTTATTCATTTTTTCCCTACTGGCGCACAGAGTCTTCTGAGTTCTCAAATCAGCATGGCCTGCCAGCTGAGTTTCAAGACAGATAAATTCATCGACGTCACAGTTGACTCACCCGTGGAAATCAGCCGATGCAATGTGCTCGTGGTTGACAATGAGGACGCTGTCGGGAGCCGCCACGAAGTGGTACGCAATTGCATGTCACGTTCTGAAGACAACATTATAACAGCATTCAGTGCAGCCACTTCTACAAGTGCATGAAAGAATGCTTTTGAAATAGGCTCTCAACTCACACGGCATTTTCTAATACATTCCCCAACTTTGCACGGACTGATCACCAGTACAAAAGTTGTGAATCGACGTCGAGATAGGACCAATTTGTATGCAATCTTTTTAATAATGCTATCACTCTGTGAAATGTTTTTTATAACGTGATCAGGAGTGTAGTGTTAATGAAACTGTATGTTATTCACGTTTGTTGCCACCCCCCTGTTTAACACTTTCAGACTAAACCAACAACTGTCTGAATAAAAATAAATAAATTTTCGCAGCACTTAACGAATAAAAAAGTGGATGTTATCGGGCCTAAACAGAGACGTTCTTATTGACTGTGTTCAGTTACGAAAATCTCCCTGGATACGAGCCTACTTTAGCAGAAGAGTTCGTATTCCCAATTATTTCCAATGCGCGCGTCTTACACGTATTCCTATGCCTTTAACAAATCATTTTCTCTGGAACCATTGTAGACGTATTACTTGTTCATTCTTTTTGCGTACTCTTAAACACTGTCTCATTTAGGCTGTTGAAGAACACGGAAGAGACTACGTTTTCCGTCTGTGGGCGATGGGTAACCAGTCCTCCATCTGCAGCCAGTGCGGAATTATTCAGAACCACCACGGAC